AAGAAAAGAAAAAAGAACACGAGAAGGGGAAAGAACAATGGATTAAAAAAAAAAAAAAAGAACAAATATATACACAATTGTTGACAATACTATGCTTGAGAAATCGTACGACGCGTATATAATGTACTTAAACAAATATAATTAAAAAGAACAAAAAATGGCAGAATGTTTGTGTTTCGTAAGTAAAGCATATTAAGGAGTAAAATTTGTAATCATGCGACAAGGAGGCGCATTTGTGCGTGATTATTAGGGTATTATAATATTCAACGAGTAAAGAAGAAAAAAGCAGAAGAGAGTACACATTTTCATCGTCCCCCGCAGAGAGTGTACACCATTGTTGTTATCAAAATTTTTAACGCGGAAACGAGCGGAACGAAGAGGAGAGAGAAAAAAAGAAGAAATAATAATAAACGAATATATTAGGAAGACACATCGTTTGCGCAGCCTCCGAGATATACATAGGTGAACCTAAAAGCAATTGTATCAGAGTCAAACACGCACATTCAACACAAAAAAAAAAAAAAAAAAAAAAAAAAAAAAAACCTATAATACCGAAACTCCCCCCTCAGATCTTTATTAATAAACATTTATCTTCCGTTCGTTCACTCGCACGAAGAGCTTATTCTCTCGAATCGTTTGTATGATTAAACAAAAACAAAAAAAAAAAAAACGAAGAAAAGAAAAGAAAGCAAGAAGGAAGGAAAAAGCGTCTCTCTTTTACCGCGGTAGCTCTGAACGCGTGTGCACGATTCTACGATTCTGCCTTTGAAGAATGGTATATCTCTATCGATCGATCAAAGGCACGCGATTGCCAGGTATTTTTTCGAATTTTTTTCTTTCTTTTTTTTTTTTTCGTTTCATCGATCGATCTGCATCTCGATTTCTCCGTTCGTTCTCCACGAAACATTCAATCGATCGTGTGATATTCGATGTGATGCCGAGATAATTGTTATCAATTATTCCCAACGAAGTTCACATCGTCGCGTTTTCGTGTACATACATGGCCGTACATCATCGAAAGAATTGGATTTGTAGCTATTTCACCATCGACTTACCTTATCGTCATTCGTCACACGTTCTCGCAACAAAAGGGACACTGTCATCTTTGTCGTTTCATTCTTCGTTTTTAGAAATCCAACTAACAGGTAATAGTTTTTTTTTTTTTTTCAAACTTCGTCTAACATTTAAGGGAAACGTTAAGGTTCTCTCGAACGCAATCACGATATACGTAACGTGTATCGTAATTAATTCGTAACGATTACGAAGGGATGAAATAATTTATAAGAGATTTATCGTGATCGTTTATTTCTACTTAGCGATCCTTGGTAGATTTTACGAAAGAGGTAATTTTGTTTGGCGACGTGTGCAAAAGTAGAGAATGTTCGATCGATGAATGTGGAAAATGCGCGAAGACGTGATATAGTGTAAGCCAACGAAAGAGAGAGAGTTACAAATGACAAAAAGGTAGCTATTTGAGAAAGAACATGCGGACGAAACTGTGAGAGTACGATGAAAGATTGTTACAGTGGTGTCTATTCGACCAACTGAAATAGATAAAATGGAGTATAATAAGATGATATTGTGCGTGAATAAAAGGCAAACGAGGAAAGTTGACCAGAGTTTTATCGTCGTTGAATCATTGTGCCACATTCCATATCGTCGCGTTAAAATGCGTGAAAGGTAAAGAAGAAAAAAAAAAAATTGAAGTATCATCGTTATCATGAATTATTAGATAAAGTTTAAGATGTGACTCGATGTTACACCGCCGTAATTGCTGTACGAAAACATTTTGCCGAATACACAAGAACCATCGATAATCTAGAGGGCTCGTGTTCGATTTAATAATGCCCGGAGTTCGTGTAACTTTTGTTTTCGATCGATGCCGCCTTTTTACGTCAGCGTTCTATTGTACAAAAGTCTTCAGCCGCAATTGACACGCGTCCGAATAAAATATACGCATGTTGTGTAAAAACGATTTTAGCCTCTCCTTCGGTAAATACACAGTCGGTATAAATTTCGTTAAGAAATTTTCACCTGGACACCGATTAGCATTAGAATAAGGATTGCCGAGAATTTTCTTCTCGTTTTTTTTTTTTGTTTAGAGACCTCTAGATTTTCGTCTGGTAGTTAGGCGAGAACAGGAAGAAGAGGAAATTAGTACACCTAATTGTTGTTACTATTGATTTCATCACCTCTAATCTTTGCAACAGTCATTATCCTCGTTACGCGAGGATACTGTAACGAAGCGTCCGTTTGTTGCCTCGGACACCATTTTGTAACTTATCATTTTTGCATCAATAGTATGCTCGCGTGTAAAATATTATTACATTTTAGCCGTGTAAACGCAAAATATATTGCCTATACAGTCGCATATACATGTATGTGTAGTTCGTGTAAAGGGTCACAAAGTGTTAATTTCGAAACTGTTAGCGTTAATGGTAAAATTCGTTCCTTACATTTAATAATTCCAGACAAAATAGGTCAATTGAGGTATTTCATTTATCCTATAAAAAGCCATCTGAAGCCATTAAGTGGCAGAAAAAGAATTTTGTCGTTATTTCTAATGGTTTAATGGAAATGAGAAGATTGTAATATTTTACACGACTACCATATATGTATATACATGTATGCATATGTGTATATATATATATATATATATATAAAACACTTGTACATATACACGATCGTGCTATACATTACAATTTGTTATTGCTTCGTGTTTCAGCGAATTAGCAAATATCAGACAACTTTAACCTAACTATGTAAATGTCTTTGTGTAATTTCCGTAAGATTCACTTATAAAACTTACAAACAAATCTCGTTGAAACGCGAAGCATCAACAAAAATGGAGCATTTTCTAACTGCTTAGTTCGTTGAACTTACAGATTTCGATGTTCTGTATACATCAGT